ACGGGGAATCGGCTGTCAAATTAAATAAATTCAATAATTCGTTAAAAGCACATATGCAAGCATTAAAAGCGTTAGGCGAAGATCCAGAAAAATGGGGAGCTTTACTGCTGCACGTAATTTGTAAAAAAATAGATATGGGCTCTATACGTCAATGGGAACAAGAAAATGATCACAATACAATTCCAACGGTTCAATCATTAATGTTGTGTTTGGATAAAAGATGTAAAGTATTGGAGTCGATTGAGTCAGCAAAAATCTTTTCTGGAAAAAATAGTATTGATTACATAAGTAATAAATGTTCAAAAATGCACAATAAAAAAAGAGTAACTGCATTAGCAATTCATACAAAAATGCAGTGTTATATGTGTAAAAAACCACATCCTATTTATAAATGTCCAGACTTTCTATCATTAAGTCTAGATAATCGAAAAATAAAAGTNTCTATCATTAAGTCTAGATAATCGAAAAATAAAAGTTAATTAATTAAAACTATGTTTTAATTGTTTAAAAAATGATCATTTTGTTGATCAGTGCAAGTCAAGGAAATGAATGAAGTGTCAGGGGGAGCACAATTCGCTCTTGCACCAGTCTATTGAGAATGAGAACACGAGTAGCAATGCACAGATCAATATGCATACTGTAAACATAAGTCAAAAACAAACATNTATGCATACTGTAAACATAGGTCAAAAACAAACATTATTAGCAACAGCGATAGTGAGAGTTATGAACACCACGGGAAATTATATAGATGGACGTGCATTAGTTGATAGTGGATCTCAGAGCAATTTTATGATTACAAATTTAGTAAACAAGTTGGGTTTAAAAAGGGAAAAGGTAAATGTACCTATCAGTGGTATAAGTGAGTCAAGAAATAGCATCAAATATAAAGTGACGGCTTCTATATGCTCAAAAACCGGTCCATACGCAACAACAATTGATTTTTACGTACTACCAAAAATAACTGGTTTACTACCAAATATGTCAATGTATAACATTAATATCCCAGAAAATATTATCATTGCCGATCCAACATTTAATGAGCCGGGAACCGTCGATGTATTAATTGGAGCTGGTACGTACTGGGACTTAATGTGTGTTGGTAAATTTAAAGCACATCAAAACGGACCGTACTTGCAAAAAACTTGTTTAGGATGGGTAGTTGTCGGGGAAGTCGCAGATAAGTGTGAGAACAATAAAGTTACCTGTATGTTGGTTATGGAAAATAAAGAAAGATTATTGGAAAACAAAATTGAAGCTTTTTGGGAGATTGAAGAACTTGACACAAAGCAATATTTCCCCACAGAAGAAGAAACATTGTGTACAGAGCATTTTAATAAAAATACTACGCGTAATAATAACGGTAGGTTCATTGTAAGATTACCGTTTAAAGATAATGGTCAATTAGGTTATTCATACTACTCCGCTTTACGGCAATTTTTATCATTGGAAAATAGATTAATTAAAGATAGTAGCTTATATGATAAGTAAAAGTTATTTATGCGTGAGTATGAAGAGCTCGGGCACATGAAGTGTATAGGTAGCGTTAATAAAGATAAAGACGAAATCAATCGA